TATCAGCTGAATCATGAAGGAGGAGCGGGGATTTCGAGGTATGGGAGACTAGCATCCCAAGCCGAAGGCAGCGCCGGGACGCAGGCTGGGGAAGCTCCATTCTGTGCTGCTGGGCACAGCTGAGGGTGCCGTGCAAGCAGTCGGGCCTACAAGGCCTCCCCACCCACCGCACAGTGAAGACTGTGCCAGGGTCAATGCCGTGTTTCCCCGAAAGTAAGACATCCCCCGAAAATAAGGCCTACTTACAGGTTTGCTTCTCGCTGATATAGAAGGCATACCCCCGAAAGTAAGGCCTCCCCGATAATAAGGCACCGGAAGCTACCGTAACTCTGGACTCTGGACCGTAGCCGCAGCGCAGCCAGAGCAGACAGGACATGCGAGTAAATGTACCATAGGCTGAGTAAATGTACCATAGATTGTTTGTTGTACATGGAAATAATGGTAGTAACAGGAAATTCTTGATACTGTAGGATTCAGTTTGTCTGGTTATGCTGGTTTGTGATGACAACTACTACTGTACCGTATACAGGTAATACATTTCCTTTTTTTGTTGTTCAACGATAACTGAGTATCATATTCTTCTTCATGGGAAAATAAGATATCCCCTGAAAATAAGACCTAGCGCATCTTTGGGAGCACAAATTAATATAACACACTGTGTTATTTTCGGGGAAACAGGGTAGCTTCTCACAGGTTTATGCAAGACTGTGACACGGGTTTTGAATTTAAAAACGGTCGCTGCATCCCAAACCTAGAGGATGAATTTGTGGCAGAGGGGATGAGCTGGATGGAGAATCTGAGTCAGCTGGTCTCAACCTCTTGACTTCCTTTGAGAATCTGTTTGCAGTAGGAACCACAGCCCTCATTCCAGAAAATGTTTAATGTGTGCTGACATAATACATTTTCCACCCGCTTTCAGGATCGAAATAAGCGCATGCCTGAACTTCCCAGGCTTAGGAAGCCCTGCCCCAGGAAGAAACACGGACAAAACTAGGTAACTGATTGGTGTGGTGAGTGAGGGTGAAGAGGAATCCGCTTTCAGTTGTTTAAACCAATATTTGTTGGGCACCTACTATTGGGGGTGGGGTGTAAAGATTACAGACTACTGCTTAGGGAATAGTATAGTGTTTAAAAGCTACCCTGGAATCACAGCTGGATTCAAATTCTGGCTTTGCCTCTTCTGAACGAGGCAACCTTGGGCAAGTGACATCACTTCTCGGTGCCTCAGTTTCTTCACCTGTAAGATGGAGATCGTTATAATTTCTACCTCGTGGGGTGGTCACGAGGCGTAAATGAATGTTACACCAGAAATGCTCCGAAGAGCTCATAACAATGGGCGCTGAGGGCGTGCGCAGCATTCTTGTTAAATCGGTTAATAGCAAAGAAAGAGGCATCTTCCCTTTGTTGGGAGTTTGGGAAGGGCTCCCTGAGGAAATGGTTTTGTGAGGGAATCTGAACTGTAT